CATCATTCTAAAGTTGGCTTCAAACACACAACTTGAAGTCTTTACTGCCTGTCCCCCTTCTCCCCCACAGGGCAATACAAGCCATTCTAACTCAAGAAGCAAAGCACAGTACGTAAGAATTCTTTAATAATAATAAAAGCACATGATAAAGAGCTCTAAATTTGCCATTCCTTCAGGTATTTATGCTGCTTCAGCCATTCAGTCCATCCAAAGTAAGGCCATGACAAATTCTATAGAGGGAAGATAATTGTTTCCAATCATAGATAATTTAGAGTTTTTTCAAATTATGTCATAACCAGCTTATCAAGCATCTTGACCTTGGAATCAACTGGAACATACTGCCCTGATTTAAACACTCAGCAATTTCTCTAGTGACAGCAACAGGCTTCACCTTGCACATCTGCCCTACTGACATCTTCCCCAACTCCTGCTTTCATTCCAGATCCAAACTTCAGCACACTCTGTGGCCCACCTGTTCCTGTTCTGAGCCTGACCAGGCAGCAACTGATTTGGATTAACCTGGTTAATCCAGGCAGCCTCTCCCAGCAGCTCCCTGGTAGCCACAGTTCCCCAACAGACATGTCTGCTGGAGCTCTGCTGCAGCTTGCCAGAAGTCACACAACATCCCAGCAAAAGGCAGATTTTATACATGATTTTATATCATTCCTCCTCATATTTTACATTATTCTTCATGAAGCCTACCTAGCTGTACTTTGAGGAGATTATATTGGTCCTTATGCTGTTGGATCTGGGACACTTGCTGTGTGACAGTTGCCTGGAGCTGTTCATTCTGAGATGTTAAAGTGTTGATTCGTTGCTTTAGTTCTTCAAGCTCCTGGTCCTGTGAAAGGAAAAAAAAAAAGCACTTAGAACTAATAACGCTTCTCAAAACAATCCTGTCAGGAAGGTGAATAAAGACAGAAAAGCCTTAACAGGACCTGCACTTTAGTCCACTTCAAGAATCTTTAAAGAAGTCATGGCAACTGCAGACATCCCATGTTCACTAAAGCCTCACTGGTGGTTCAGAAGTGCCCCTGAGTTCTACATGTCCCCTAGACCCTCATCCCTAAACTCAACACCTGCTGTCAGTTTGAGTTCATTACCTTTGTTCCTCTACTTGCTGCAGCAACCATACAATTGAACTACCACTGGAGAAAAGGTTTTGAGAGTCCATCCATAGTAGGTATAATACTCAAACTACACCAGCAAACCACTTCTTCCTTCAGCCCCATTTCATCTGTCACCTTTCCAAAGGTGAGAGCACAGAATTAAGAACTGCATCTCTGAGGGGATGCAAGTTCTCCAGTTACTCATTTGAGAAGAAACTCTCCAACACAAGAACAGATGCCCCTCAAGAAAAAAAGAAAATTAACTTATCCAGTATTCTAAACACTGATATTTCAGTTAAACCGAGGCAGAGGTGTTTTTAGTAGTGTTTCTGCATTGCAAGGTTCCTTGTTACTTGTTTTGGAATGGGGTATCAAACTGCACTGCAGTGCCTCTGGAAGACAAAACAAAGAGCTTGTAAAGGCACATGTACAGGGTAATGCCCTCTTACCTGCTCCCTAATGACTTTTTTGTAGTGAGTCACAATGTTGTCATGCTGTTCCAGTGTCTTCTTCACCTCCTCCTCCTTTTTATCCTCCTCACTGGACTTGTAAATAGCTTTACTTATAACACCTGTCAAAAACAGTCTTTGTCAATTACAGCCCAGTTCCATTTTTTTTGTCTTCAAAAGAGTCCCAAAATCTCACAGTTTGAGTTCATGGCTTCATAAACTCAACCTGCACATTAAAAAAAGCAAAGTTTTAATAGCAAGTGGTCATTTTTTTAATTGCAGGGTTTGCACACTTACTGCTTTACTTGGTTTCAGACAAGTTAAATGGGTGCTTTGAACCCATCCTATCAGAAAAGTTGTGTTTTACTTCCACAATGTCTGCACTGTAACTGCAGCCCAAGTGGTTGTACAAATAAGTGCAAGACTCTGAACTACAGTGGCAAAAGGCAAATCAAACTGCTCAGGCAAAGCCATATTTACAGTTGCTGTTTCAAGGCCTTTTCCTTCTCTAGTCTGAGGTATAAGTATTATATTAATAAACAGGACACCAGCTATGTGTTAAGAACAATGACAACCTGTCTATTCTGTGAAGGACAGAAAAGATTAAAGCAAGTGTCTATCATGTCCTAGCAAGCCAGGAAATTCAGCATTAAGTTTTCTTCACGAAACAGTTGGAAACAGCCAATATTTGGATTGTGTACTTCCACAAATCAAGCCTTTATGATCATCACATCTGCTCAATACTCAAGTTTCCATGTGAGAACAGGTAAACACCTCCTGGCCAGTGTGGTAACTCCCAGAATCTATTAAGAATCATTTCACCTAAGAACATCAAGTAATCCAGTTTAAGTATTTTTACTAAACACTAAGTGCAAGCTCAGGTATATGATGACTTCCAACTATTCCTGTAGCCTTTTTGTGTCATCACACTACTTTAAGATAGTTACATTCAGCACATTTGGTAGCCACCAGCTCATCACAAACTAGAGAAATGAGTGCAACATCTCACCTTCCAATTCCTTTACCAGCTTGGTGAATTCATGGTCAAACATCATGTGGTCTGGGCTAGAGAAACTAGGCTGGGGCTTCTGAGCAGCTCTGGAGTAAAGTTCATGTTTGCTAATGAAGCCAAGCTTCTCAATGAAGTTCTCCCTGCCAATCCTCTTCTCTATCAGCTGCTTCAGCTTCTCTCTAAAAGCAAGAGACAAATCAATCCCAGTGCAACAACTGAGAAGTGAACCCCTCCTTCCCTCATGGCAGGTGTTGCAGTTGAAACTCTTATCTGTCTCAACCCCACTGCCCTGTCCCAGTTAAAAGCCTCTTAAACCACCACCTGCCACTCACAGAATCTTTCCCTACAGTCCTTTTATTCCTACATCATACTTACTTCCTATAATTCTCCAGGGAATTGTCGTTGTAGTAGATGGAAATGCCAAGCAAAAGTGCACACAGGCCTTGGACGAGCTGCTCCTCTTCTCCCAGGTTCTCAGCTATCTGCCCTGTGAGCTGGAGCTCTTGTTAAGGATATTGGAGATATTTCAGCATCACAGCACATGCAATGGGTTTCTCCCTGTATACATTCCCATTTATTTTCACACGTAAGGCCAAGCTTGATTAAATATTAGACAAAAGAGCTGGTAAAACCCTTGCAGAGTTAACTCCTATTTTGAAGGACTTGGGTAATCAGTGGTTTCCCTGGAAGTTCTCAGTAACTGTTTAACCCAAGAGATTTAGTTGTTTCAAAACTAAGGACTTGCAATGTAGATAAGGTGACAGTTTAGCCTTACAGACTTCAGTATTTTTTTCCTGAAAAGCAAGCACAGAATTTCTTCTTAAACAGAAGTATGAACACTCTTCCTGCCACTTGATTATGAGCTTAATTCACACTAAAAATCATCAGTGGACTTGTTGCAGTAACAGCTCACTTGGTTGGCCAGCTGTGGTGCTTTTCCACTGCACTGTGGTATGTGCATCCTACAGACAGGGCAGGGTATGCAGAGCACTGGCAACAAAAGGCTCATTTTGTCTCTTGGCCCAGTGCATTTTCTTTCATGTCATGCAGAATCCCTGTAAATTCATCTAGACAAACCTTTGACTTGAAAATGAATAATCCAGGTAATGTCTAGGCAAGGGGTTCTATCCACAAACAGGTCAAGGATACAAAAGGTACATTGGCTGGATTGTGAAGGAAGTGGGTGACAGCAATGGAGCAGTTGCTGAGCCAAGTGCAAAGCAACATCAGTAGTCCAACCCTGGTCTGCACTTTGCTGCCCTGCAAAGAATAAAACTCTCCATCATCACCTTTACACAGTGGATGACTAAAAAAAAAAAAAAGCTGTACTGGATCAGAACTCACCTACTTCCACCTCATCATTTTAAAAGCAAGTCATGTCTGTAAAAACCACCCATTCTTTAGCTATTCTGCAAACAGCTTTAGTGCTTGGATCAAACAGAGATTAAACCATTCATATTGAACTGTCTTCAGAGCACACCAGCAAGCAACACAGATGTGAAACATGACTCAAGGCAAGTTAGCACCAATATAAAGTCATAACACATTAGTTCTGCATTTGTAATTAAAACAAGGGTGACACAAAGGAACATACACACAATGCCTGTAAAGAAGGAACAAGGTGTACATTTAGTCAGGTAAGGATTCCCTAGAAGAGATGCATCACCAAGACTTGCCCTGCTGACTAAAAACTGCCAAGTGTTCCTAGTATTTTCTAGGTCAAAGAAACATAATACTGGAGTGGCTTTCAGTTCAGACAGGAATGCTACCTGCAATACTTTCCTTTTTCAACTTAAGAAAATTCAGTTTTATCTCCAAATTGACTAATTCTGTCTCTGCTGCAGGGTTTTGGGTCCAGCTGTGCTAAAACAGGCATCCATCTCTTCCAACAGTCAATAGTTAGATGGAAGCAAAAGTGCTCCCTCACTTCCATTTCTAAATACTGGCTCTGATTGGCCCAGCACTATTAACCAGTCCATACTGGGAATAACCCCTGGCACTGGCAGTGTTGCCCTACAGCACGTGGGCACACCTCAAGCTTCTTGAGAACACTGGCACACACCCTTAACTCAGAAACATGGAATTACTTTTGTTTACATGGAATTACTAAGCGCAGCACTTAGAGCACGCAATTTATGCTGGAAGCAGCTGCAAACCACATTTATTCTCATGCACTGCTTCCTATTCTGAGGTCAAATTGATGTGCTCTGCCTAAGGATTTTCACACAGTGCCAAACACCCTCTATAAACAACAGCTATTTTCTAGGCACACCACGGTAACACCCACTCAGAGATGACAGCGCTCCATGGCTGCTTTTCTACAGTTCAGGCTTGGGAACAACACAACCCCACCCCTCAGGACAGCTGTGATCAACAGAGGAAAAGAAACTATTTTACAGCAGCAATAATTTTTTGTGCTTCAATTAACAGCCTGGAAGTCAAACAACTCTTCAGGGGTCATTTGCTCAGAATGAGAACCCAGCTATTCAGGACCAGTAGAGGCAAGGTTAAAGTATCTGCTGGTAAGTAGAACACCACCCCATGTCTGGAAGGCAGGTTAAACAGTTTTTCCTTCAGCAGTCAGGACACCAGCAGCATGTTCCCATGTCAGATGGTCCCAGCTGTTTGCTACAGGCCAGTAAGAAAACAGTGTTTCCACCAGTTTTAGTTTTCCTTCCCAGAAAGCACATCTGTTACATGAACAGATGGTCCACGAGTCCACCCCACTGCAAAAAAAGCACCCGTGCTGCCCTGTATCCCATAGTTCTGTGGAGCACCCCCAGAGAATCCCCTGGAGACACAAGGAGTTTGTTATGCCAGGGAAAACCCAAACCCACTGCAACACAAAGCTGTAAGTGGAAACACAAAAAAAAGCAGTTAAAGAAAACCTCCCCAGCAAACCCCAGACAAGAGGGAAAGGCCTGCTTTTGGCAAGAAAATACCCAAGCTGTGCCAAAAAATACATACCCGTCTGTCGATCTTATCACCCTGCAAGTTACACACACATTACTGGAGAACCTTCAAGTGGAACACAGTTCAGACACACCCCCCCCAGTTTGAGTCCCTTCTATTATTTAGGACTGAAGAGCCTAAAGCAGTTTTACTGACTCAAATCTACCATATGTGAAAACGCCAGGAAGAAGATAAAAATGAGTACTGGCTCTTTTAAGCTACAGCAACTGAAAGAAGTCACATGAAGGAATTCAAAGTTCCAGACATAATTTGCACTTGCAGGAACAGTCTAATTACCACCAGAATAACTAGCTCCTTACTATGCCACATGCTTTTCCCCCCCAGATGGTTATAACAGAGGGGAATGTCACAAGGAGGCATGGGCTAGGAGGGGAACTTCACTCACTGGGCATTTACCAGGCCAGGTATTAAGATGTTGAACAAGTTCAAAAAAAGCTTTTAGCCTTTCATAGGAAAGCCAACAATCAATACATGAGAGCCTGCTATTTTCACGATGTTTCTAGTTAGCAGGCCCAGGTTAAATACCAAACAGGCACTTCTTGAGCACAAAAACATCATCACTGGGGATCCTGCCAGTTGGCCTTATCTCTTAAGCCAAGTTTGGGGCTGGATACTTCAGGGCATCTGAGAGCAGGCAGCATCAAGAAGCCATGTGATGGAAAAGCAACATTTGCTGCTGTTCTCCTCCCTGTGAAGCACAGAGTGCTTTAACCAGTGCTTAAAAACCACTTGCAAAAGAGAACCCTCCTCATTATGCCACCTGTGTCCCTGCAATGCCCCTGCCCAGGAGCTGCATTCCCAGGACACCCAGAGCTGTATCCCAAGGGTGCAGGCAGAGCCGTACCTGGGAGAGGATGTTGGTGCACTGCTGCAGCAGGGACACGGGCGGGTTGCCAATGCTGGTTGCCAGCTGGACCCTCAGCAGCTGCTCTTTCAGAGTGGCATTCTCCTGCAGGGCATGGGCCAGGGCCACGGCAGCACACCAGTTGGACAGGGAATCCGTGGAGAAGAGGCCCCCGCAGAGCAGCTGACCCGCCGAGACAGAGTTACCTGTAGCTACCAGAGAGGCCAAGAGATTAAAACAAGCCACAAAACCAGCCAAGTATTTAGGGCAGCACAAACTTTAAATCCAGGAGGAAAGCAAACAAACAAAAGTTGAGGTTTTAGAGCAATCCTAAGCCAAGTTGCCTTGCTTAGATCAGACCCTGAACAGCAGGTACTAACTCCCCCCAGGACAGCAGCTGGTGTGTTAGCACAGTGCCAGCTCAGGGCTCCCTGCAGCCACACAGGCCTGCCCTACCGTCAATGGTGGATGGCAGGAGCGTGGACACAATTTCTCCTTGGCCTTTTTGGTTTTTGTAGAGGAAGCACTGGAAGCAGTAGAGAACAGCACAGCGTAGCACAAAGGGCTGCCTCTCGTTCACCATGGACATCAGCAGGACTACAATGGCAGGCCTGGAGGAAAAGGAAGGGAAAGCCATCAGAACAAAGCTGTGAATGCAGACAACCACAGCTACAATTTGAAGGGTGTTATACAGGTAAGGAAAGATATCTTGGCCTACCACTGCATCTATAGCCATTTTAAACAACAGCATTAAAATACCAGGTGTTACTCAAGTTTTTCAGTTACTTAAAACACAGAACAGCAGATGGATTATCCATCTTCTTTGCCTCCAAATGCTCTTGTAGACTGTCCTCTGGCTGACAGGGCAGCTGATCCAATCTAGGAATTTCTCTGCTATTGCTCATTCAGTTTTCAGGTGCCAAACACGAATTCTAGGCCTCGTCTCTGTACAAACACACCTGACACCTTCCCGCTGTACCCAATACACCCCACATGAACTTCAAGGTATTGCTCCAGATCCTAATTCCAGCTCTGAATTTAAATAGTCCTTGGGACTAGACTATCATGGCCCATACCAATACACTACTACCACAGTTAAACACTTTTCTTCCCCTACCTTGGTGGATTAGAAGGTGCATTTACAGAGGCAAAGTAGTCTTGATTGGTCTGGCATCCTCGGATGACCTCTGATACAGTATTAATGGTCTAGGGAAAGGCCAGAGAGAAAAGTTAAAGAGATATTGAAGTGTAAGCCATAATCTACCACCTAGATCACTTCAAGTTGTTCAGCCTGACCCTGACAGCTCAGTATGTAAAGGCACACACCAAGCCTCAGCACAGATCAATTCAGTAAAACCACTGCACATGAAATCAAACATTTAGGAGCTGTGAAACACTGAGCTAAGGTTAAGGGACAAAGAGCTCAGGTGGCTCTACCACACCCAGTCACCTCCAACTTAATTTTCTCTGCCAGATCAGTTTTGCTGTGCCAGCCAGTTCAACTGGACACTTTAAAAAAGTGAAAAGGTGAAACCTTTTATGAAACAAAAAACAGCAACAGAGTAACCAGCCCGCACTCAATCCACTGCTGACAGGGCTTTCTAGAACCTAGAATTCCTCATCATTGGAAGCCTGCCAAATAAGAACACTTGAAGACTCTCACAAAAGAGAAACAATAAAAAACCCACCCCCAAACCAGGAAAACACAGATCAATTCTGCTGCTCCGGGATATGCTGAAATCCAGCAGAAAAAGTAAGCAAATCCAAATCCTTTCTCCTTGCAGAACACAATGCAAGTGACTCTCCCATTTATGCTGCCCACAGAGGAAGCTGACATCTCTGGCATCTGAAATACTTGCTTAGCAAATATTCAGTTTGTCTCTGCAGCAACTGGTTCTCCCTGCAGACTGCTGTTACCACCCCTCTGTGGTTGCCCCCATCCCTACATCCATTTGCCCCTCTTACCTCTGTCAGGATGTCGGCAGGAACCCCGGTTGCCATGAGGATTGTGCAGAGCTGCTGTAACAACCCGCAGTGGAACATGGCCTTCTGACAGCTGCTCGTGGCACCAGGAGGGTTGGTGGGAGACACCAGCACCCGCACAAGCTGGGAAAAAAGGGAAACATTTCCATGTGAGGAGAGCCCAAGACATTCTGGAATGCAAAACCAAGCTCATTTGAGGTTTACCATGAAATAGAATTGCTCCTCAAAACAGAGACTGGAAAAAAACAGAATGTTCATCTCACTGCTACCTATGGCTGCTTCATTTTGAGTTTCATACAGGGGGATTCTTCACACAGAACATCCCTGATCATGTTTTGATCTTAACTTGCTGCTGCAGCTCAGGTTACATGAAGTTGTGTGATATACCAGCCATTACAGGTCCACCTTTGGCAGTGTAGGTGCTGAAAGCAGCACAGCTCATGAGCATCAGCAGCTCATTCTGAGCTAAAGGGAACACATGGGTCTCACAGCTGTGACATGACACCACCACAAGGGAGCTGACAAAGTGCTGGCATTAGTGCTTAGGAGTTAGGGGAAGGGTTTTACCTGCAGCATTAGGTGAAGATTAGTTACTTTCTGTGCAGACCACCCACAGTTGTCATCTCCCACCTCAAACCAAGGCTTCATACGCTGAATGTAGGAACCTTCTTTGAAGAAGTTCTGATTGGAATTATTATTCTTCAGCAAGTTTTGTAAGAGGAGGAGACAATCTTCCACTACTATTCCTGATGAGAGAAAAAAAATAAAAATCAAAGTACAAGTGAAAAAATGGAAGCAAACTAGTTTCCCCTTGCAGGCAGGATGTGTTGGGTAGAACAGAGCACACACTTCTGAGCTCTTCATTCTTAACACACATTACGCTTGGATCAAGAACTGGGAACCTCACAAATTAAGAAAGTAATCCAAGGACACTCTAAACACATTGATGTTGATTCACCATATTTTCCAAGGAAATCATAGTTGTTTTTCTTCCACAAATCCAGGGCAAATTTCCAAAGCATATACAGCTCATTAGTCAAGTGGGTAGGAATGGGAAAAACCTAAAACAAAACCTCACCATCACTCTGTGTCCTGAAGTTCACCTACTTGAGTGTCAGACTACACTGTCTATCATATGCACTCAAATGAAGTTCCTCCTGAACTGCATTGTGGTTCCAAAGCAGCAGTTTCTTCCTGGGTTACACATTCGTTCTCTTCAATAACTGGCTACATCTTCAACTCATTTCAAAGCTACTTTCTAGTTCGTGTTATCCTCAGATAGAGGTTCCTCCTATCAGAGGAACAGATATGTAGGGGGGGAAGCAGAGAAGTCTTAGCACTTAGGAATTTACATAGCAAGTCTCCTAAAATTATTAACTGCCTGAAAATAGCAGCTTTAAATCAAAGGTTTGCTTAATATTTCCATGCCAACATACCTGGAATAACTGAGCTGGAAGAGAAGCATTAGCTGCTCCTGCAGCCCACAAAAAGGTCATCAACAGCAGACTGTCATGTTACTGAAATAGACTGTGTAGTGAACTACAACTGATGGTAAACTCATTGTGTGCTGCTAGTAAAACAAGAGCCCCAAAGTGCTGCACTATTTTTGCTCATTTTTTTTTATCCTTTATCCCAACAGGTAAATCACTTGGCAAGGAGCTGACCAGAAAACTGAAGTTATTAGAGCAGCTGAAGGAGCTCAGGAAGCTGTTACCTCCAGCCACTCCAGGCATCCAAGGATCTCACAGGAGGAATGCAGATGCTTAATTCTGTAAGTGACAAATGCAGCACACGCATCTGACACTGCCATTCCAAGTACATACATTCCCAGGCCTAAGCCAAGCAAGAACACACTGACTCATTGACATGTGCTCAGAGAGGTTAGCTGATGTTTTAACTGGCAGTTTTCAGAAGACACTGAAGCCCTGCTACTTGGTACATCTGGTTTTGCTTGGTTTGTTACAACCAGTGGAAGTTTCGATCCTTCAACCCACTGACCCAGGTCTGATTACCCACTGTAAGTAGGGGTAAACCTAAAGTAAATATCCCCTAGTAGTTGGTGCAGAAGCACAAGACCAAGTCTTAGACTTTACCTCCATCGCTGTTTCCTTCCTCTGTTATGATATCCAGAAGTCTCTCAAAGGCATTTTCAAAGGCAACAATTTTCTGTATGGCTGCATTACTTTTGGTCAACTGCTGTAACAACAAGACTCCCTTGACAGGAGGGGGAGAGGAAAAATTCAGCTTAGTTTTTGCAGAACTCCATTGCTTTTCTCAAGTCACAGCTCTCAGAAGGATGCTCAATGAACAGCACAATCCTCAGCCAGGACCACAAGCCTAGACTTCATGCCCTGCAAGTCAGCACATCTCAAACCCCACCATGGACAGCAGGCAGTGGTCCCCTCATGTACAACACAGAGGATGCCAAGTGGCCACACAGAACAAAGGGGTAAGTTCCTTCTGTACTTACATCGTTCCGTATGACCTCCCTAGAGTCTGCCAGTAAATCCATGAGTCTGGAAACACCTGCAAGAAACACACTTTTTTAAAAAGTAGCATTAAAAGGTGCAGCTTGTTTGTGCTGGGGGTCTTCAAGACCCCTTGCTCAAGACTCCTCTAAGCCCTCTGCCATGTCTGCTGAGCTTCCAGCTCCAAGGTTATCAGCAGTGAATTCAACCACTCACCCATGGGGCTGACAAGAATGATCTGCTGCACTTGGGGGCCTTGCTGCTTTAAAAGAGATGTAAGTAGCTTCACTCCAGGCCAACGGACATGGAAATCAAATTCCTGCAGAGATGGAGAGGAGTATGTTAAGGAATCCATCCCTCAGTATTTAATTCAGATACACTGACAGATGCTTAATACTGCTGAAAGCCTAACATGGCTTCCATGTGGGAAAAGCACAGGATCATACTCAAGTTGGATTACCAAGGAAAAGAAAAAAGGTATTTGTGTTCCTCTCTTCAAGCATAATACTTTTAGTTTAGGAACAAAATTTTTTAATAGCTGCAAGTGAAGAGGCAATTCTGGAGGGTAAAATCATTGGAAAGTGAGTTAAACATACCATGCTGCAAGAAAGCAGTCACCCTTGCCACCTGAACTGCATCTCAGACATTACTGCCTCATGATCATTTAATGATCTCAAAAATTATCCTTGCATGAGTCACAGCTGCTGCTGTTTGGGGAGCAATAATTTTTATTGTTTCTAATCAAGTATCTAAAACCCTTTCCCAAGTAACAGGATGAGAGAAAAATGGCCTCAAGGTGCACCAGGGGGGGCTTGGATTACTAGGTATTAGGGAAAATTTCACCACTGAAAAGGTGGTGAGGCATTGAACAGGCTGCCCAGGGCTGTGGTGGAGTCACCACCCCTGGAAGTGTTCAGAAACATGTGGCTGTGGCACTCTGGGACACGGTTTAGCAGTGAACATGGTGGTGCTGGGTTAACAGTTGACTCCACAATCTTAGAGGTTTCTCCAACCTCAAAGATGCTGTGATTCTATTCAATGTTACCCTGCTTTAAAAGCTGCACTAATGGTGTTCATCCAGGTCAGTCCTGAGTCCCCTCCAACCCCAGAGTCACCAGATGGCAGCACACCTCACACAGGCTTCACTAGGACAAAACCATGGCTCGCTCCAGCCCAGGTACAACACTGTTACTCACCTCTACAAGAGTCAACAGCAGAGTGACATTTTCTTGCTGTTTAATGAAAATCTCTGTGAACTGACTTCCCAAATCATCGACTTGTTTTGCCGAGTTTTCTTCTGAAAAAGTAAAAAACAACATATTACAACACAATTGGAACAACTCAGCAGCTGTGATTTTTATTCTTACTAAAATAAGGCCAGGGGTGACCAAAAGACTTTGAGTCACTGGTATAATGTTAATGGAATTATTTTCAGGACAAACACCAAAACAAGCTTTTCACAAAACAAAACCCCTACATTATTGTAAGAGTAACTTTCAAGTCTCAGAGCAGGACATCCCCATGCAGGAGAGCAGCTCCCCACAAGGACCATTCACTGATGTGTGAAAGCAAAGGACACGTCACACCACTGCTGCATGAACAGAAAGCAAATGCAGAAGTATCCCACAAAGTGACAAAAACATGCAGACAGCATCTCTGCACCACTGCTGTTTTTCTAGGCTGAGTAACAATTTACATAACTGCCCCACAAAGCAATGGCATGTAGGCACTAGTGCTTGGCACAGTTAGGGAATGTCAGCTGAAAAACTGAGGAAGAGCAACTCTAATCCCAAGGGAAACAGATTTTTTATAATATAAATTAACAGAACACAAACAGTAAAGCCAATGAATTTCTGACTAAATCTAAAGAGTCTTTGGATTTTTCCTCCTACTTGAAGTGCAGGATTTACAGCCTTATCAAGGAGACATAAACCATTAACAACTGAGCAGGTATAAAAAGGGTCAAAGACCACACACCATCTCCAAGCTCTGCACTTGCTGGGGGATATGGCAGAACAAATCTGGTGTCAAGAACATGAATTCAATGAACCTAATTCCAACTGTTGGCCATGGTGATTCACTGCAAGGAATCAGTAACATCTACTTGCTAAGGATTTCCAGTGCAGCAGAAGTCTTTTGTTTGGCCTTCTAGACAGAGTAGCTGATCATTTCCCATGTCATACAGCTGCATTTCCCCCTTCAGCAGGCTTAGCAGTACAGAGCTTACAAGAGGGACAGAGAAGCAGCAACACTCTCCTGTAAGTTTCTTGCTGCAAAAACGATGAAATACTACAAAGAAGGGATAGAAGAGAGGACAGACTGTGTGCAAAAATAACAGCAGCCTGGGCATGGAGCAGCTAGCACAATAAATCCCATAGTGAGCTCTCTCAAGCTGAGGGTCTTAGCAAGTCTGGCACACTCCTGGTTTACATAAATGAAAATAAAAACTCCACACGAGCTCAGCTTCTGCAGAGTAAGAGGCAACTCAGTTGGGAATCAACAAGACATGGATTACACACACTGTAGTTTGCTGCAAGCCAAGGAGAGAAAGCCCCAAACCCTAAACATTTTACTTTTAAAATTAAGTCAAAAAATGTCATTTTGACTTTTCCATGAGCTGTGACTGAACATCTTGTCCTTTTCCCAAGCCCAGCTGCAAATAGCAGGTGTTTGAACTCTTGATCCCAACTGTTGTCCTTGCACAAGTTCCAGGTGGTAAGGCAAAACCTGAGCAGTACCCACAGCTTGCACAGCCTCTTTCAGCTTTGCTTTAGTTTATTTACTCTAGTTCAGGATTCTTCTATGAAAGGGCCAAATCACCTTTTTTCTCTCTCAGCTCTTGCTTTTTTCTGTAAGTATTTCTTCTGCTACATTTAAAGAAAAGAGGGAGCTGGACAAAAACAGGCAAAGGGAAACTGCATCTTTCACTTATATGGATACACCACAGATCCTGCCATCAGCCTTCTACCCATAACTGCTCTTTGAATCTAGACACTCACAGGGTTCTCAAATAAAAGACAAACTTCCATCTGGTAAGATCAGCTCTTAGCAATTCACTAACAAGCAGCACAGCAAACTAGAATTTAATCCCAAAATAAACAGGTGAAGTGCATTTTGATAAAATCAGTTTAAAAAAGGAGGACGTGGAAAGAATTAGTGGTGACTTGGAATAAAAGTGAACGCTATTTTAACATGCATTGCTTAAAAAAGACACTGTGAAGGATGCTCTCGCGCAGTCATGCATTTGTGTCCAACTTTGGGGCTTCTTGCAAACAAACCCTGTTCACAGATCTCAGCCCATGAAAATCCTACCAGTTCTGGAGCTGCACAGTTTTATGACATCCTTATCAAGAACTTATCATACAATCTCTAGAGATCAGCTGGCATTCAACATGCCAAATCACAGGAGAAATCCAATTGGAAACACTTGAGCTCCAAGGAGTAAGTGTATAGCAGAAGGCAAAGTGCTTCCCCTGAGCTCCAGTTCGGGTTTTTACAGTGTCCCTTTTAAGTGCCAGCAAGTGTTACTGGTGTGAGTAGCAACTAGGGCTAAAGTGCCATATTCATACAAGTAAAGGTTCTTTTACCTTCAGAGTCATCTGTCAGTGCAGATAAAATAAAAAGAAAGAAGAGACAGGTTTACAAGTTGAACAGCTTTCCACACCACACAACCCATGACAGCATAAGCTCAGGTTTCCCAAACAGCCATCCCAGCTTCCTACAGCAGCCTTGACTCCTTTGGAAAGTTTTTATGGAAGGGGCTGAACCAAACCACCCCTTACTCTTTTAAGAGTGGTGATCTCTCACACAACTCCAGTTTGACAATTGTTTGCTCATTTTAAGAGACTGCCAATAACACTCTGGTCCAGCCCATAATCAAAGGCACTACCACAAACATGGATTCACCAGCACTGTAAGACTCTGACCTTGTTCAAAACATCTTTCATTAAGATCAGGGAAGTTGAGGAACAAGGAAAAGAAAGGCAAGTAAGCCAAGCAACCATCTGATAGTTGCTCAGAATAACATTTATAGACCTTTGAGACCAGCTTTGATGGCCTAGCAAGAAAGTGGCATGGATTTTCACAGCCCTGCTGTACAGTGGCTGCTTGGACACCTTGGGAAGGACTGGCACAATCACTCTGTAAAGTGCCACAGCAGGGATGAAAAACATCTTCATACTTACATGGTATCACTATCACAGGTACCTGAGATCTTACATCTCAACATCTCTGTTAAATCATCAGATTGTAGTGTCCCATTTGACAGTAACAGCCAGAATTATTCTTTCACAATAACAAACCATTACTTGATTTTTAACTTACAAAACTAGAAAAAACCAACTATCCCATTCCAACCTGACTGCTGTTCACAGAACATAGTTTTTAAAATTAATAAGCAAGAGATCAGTGTTATTTTAATGCAAGCTGCATACAAGATTTTTAGCATTGTCCTAACAGCTACACAGTAACAAAGCAAGTCTCAGCATTAGTAAATCACATTTGATGATGATTTGAACAAAGCCCCAAAGAAAGGAGCCCCACAGTTAATACAACTATTACTACTGAGTGCTTACCTTGCTCCTCCTCTTCTAGGTCATTCGATATTACATTGTAGAGAGTGTCCAAGGCATAGCCAATTATTTCAGAATCTGAACTGCAAATGAAAGAACCACTTTTCTTTAATGACTTATTTCCAACTACTCTTACAAGATCGCTTTTCTGCCCAGGCAGTTCCCTCTGCAGCTTTAGGTTGCTCCCCCAGGCGAGCCTCAGCAAGTCTGGTGACACAAGATGACCACAGGAAGCTTCACTGTAGGTGTGTCTTATTTCCTGAGTCACTCCCTCCAATCTGTTCCTCAAGTGTACCAGGAAAAAGCTCTGGGAAGGCTTCAGACCATTTCCCAGGAAGTCACCCGAGGAAGCTGCAGACAAGCTTCAGCACCATCCCAGGATGTCAGCCAGAACCCCAGCCAAAGCTTGGAAGAATGCAGGACCAGCTTTGGATTCTTCCAAACAGGCCAGCCTCTCCAGCTACACCCAGTTATTAAGGGGTTTTGAATTCCAAGCATCCCCATGAAGTTGCAGGGCAGCCTCGCTAACCCCAAAGCATTAGTTCACCTGCTCACACCCAGACCTGCCTCAGGACAGACCTGTTTCTTCTGCATTACCAAGACTGAACCATCTGTAAACCCTGCACTACAACCAAGACACAGCCAAGAGTCCAGGAGAAGAGTGTAGCCATTTTGCTGCTGCTTGCTTTGTTGCTCTTAAACCAGAAAACAATCAAAGCACAGTTGTCAAAAAACAAAGGAAAATAAAAGCTAAGATCACAGACAAAGGTACCTCTGGTTGCAAAGACACCTCACAGTACTGGCATGACTTTGCCAAGTATCTGAAAAGCATGCTGTCAAAAAAGACCTCATGCTGACTTTAAGTGCTTGCCTGCACTGTGTAAGGCATACCAAGGCATGCCAAGTAAGGCTCCACACCAAAGACAGATTTGCATTTTAAGAGGCTGCTAGGCTGGTTCAGAGCAGAGGCCTGAAAAACCACCTCACCTTTTAATCCATGGAAATGGTCTCACCTAGCAGGTATGATCACATCTCCAGCCTGCTCATGTTTTCCCTGCGTCATGTTAGTTCTTCAATACACTACTACAAAGTATATGCTTTCCTTCTCATAGACTTGAAACAATTCCACATCTAATAACACACAGAAGTTTCCTGGAAACCTACAAACACCCACCAAGCTGTGGCCTTGCTTTTCCTTTCCATTGTTAAGGAAATCATAGCAGCTACAAAAGAATAAGCAAATTTAATGTACACATGTTTCTGTAGTTGAAAGAGAAACATCACAAAATGAGGACGGCAGCATCCCACCTCTGCTGTTCACTGCCTTTCTGCCGTCTGCTGTTCAGCACACACCACATCTCATGGATTATTCTCTTCAGACTGAAGCTGTCCAGCTTCTCTGGAGTGACAATCAGTCACGAAATAACACTTCTATTGTTAGGCATCCATAAAAGATGCAGCCCTTGTGCTGGACTGCTGCATTGCACAGGCCACCTTCCCCATCCTGCCTCTGCTAGTTGTGACTTGACATGGCATTAACCCAGATGTCAGGGCAGAGCTCCGAGTTCACAAACCACAGCAGAGCAGAACCACATGGAAGGGAAGGCACCTGTGGATGGGCTGTCCTACACATATATAACTGTGGTCTGTGCCTTAGGAAAAACAGTTCTCTTAGGTCCACACATTAGGCTCTAAGCTCTTTCAAATGTCACACTGAAATTCAAAAACCTTCTAATATACGTAGAGACAAAACAGTTAAAGATCAAGTTGGCTTCTCACTCCTGTGCCTTCTCTCACACCAACAGTTCAGTAGTACTGGCCTGTTCTACAGTCAATGCCAAGCTTTTTTCAAAATAATCCCAGGTGGGATGTAGCAACATCTAGACAGCTCGTCAGTACAAGTCCTCTACCACATCCTACTTTATATTACAAAATAAACATATGGCATAAGAACTCTGGTGTGTGTAAGCATCTGGAAAATGTAAAGCTGACTCAGGCTCCAGGATGGCTGATGCACAGAGCTGGAACACTAGTCCAAGAAGCCAGTTTGCTAGAGAACAAGTTTTAAACATTCAAGCAGAAGACAGAGCTTCAGGCAATGGAAAACTGTTTTAACGGGTAGAATGCTGTCTTCCATCTAGGAAATGGTATATTGCTGTTCCAGGATAAAGGCTGTAACTAATTTGAAACAACAGCCCAAAATCCAAGGACAGAAATGAGAGCAGGACACAAGAAACACCTTCCCTCATCAAATTAAACCTTCCGTAATGTTAAACTTCACAGCAACACAATGTGCACAGCCAGCACGAGTGACTCACATGAAAACAGTGACATGTGAGAAGACACTTTGAGTCAGCCATTGACTTCGCTTTTCTCATCCTATGCAGCTGCACTGCAAAGCAAGTGAACAACAGGTGGAAAAGAGCATTTCTACTGCTGCAGAAAGCTTTAGGGTGCCTCAGGTGGACACTGGAGAGGTACCAAAGGTCACACACCGAAACAGCAACCACAGCACTGCCCTCTGTCAGCCAACCTGCCTCAGTTCAATATGCCTGTCACACTGGGCACAGGGGACAGCTGAGCCTGGGAGTCACTTAACCAGTTATTCAGATGAGCTGGCTTGGATTTGTGTTGAAATAATCCTAAGCCCCTCACCTCTACCATCACAGACAGCAAACAGAGCACCCCAGCACCTTTAGCACCTGCACTGGTCAGACACAGGGCCCACAATGCTCTCTCAAGTAAGCCAGGGCACACAACGTTGGGCTGGCTGACATGCTGGCAACAGCAAACCAATTTACCAACATCCTGTGGCAGACAGCATTTCTGCAGCTGAAAACCCAAAACAAACATGTATTTAATGGCTTTTCGAGCTGCAGCCTGAGTCACAGAAAACATCCGCAGGGGCTCAGGATACACAAATTCCCAAGGATCAACTGGAGCCCAAAAAGCACAGAAAAGCCTCAAGTCCCTGCCCTGAGGGGTTCAGCTTGGCATCTCAGCTAGGAGATGAGTAGAGCCCCACCTCCCTTCTCCAAGTTGAAATGTGCCCTCAGGAGCAGAGAAGCAGATGAAAGCAAGGCTCCTTAACCTAGTTTTTCTGAAGGGCTTCCCCACCATATCAGGGACAGTTACTCCTATAACCTTCCCTTTTGCTGTTTGCACCAGGTCAGACATTCAGTTTTAACTACCCAGGCAGATGAATAACGTGGACTCACCTAGACAGCAGCCCCACACCTTCTTCCCAGCTGGCATAACTGGCTGGGCAAGGAAGGCCTCCACCAGCAGCCTTGGGTTGAGCACTGAAGGGTTTCGTGTCTTACATCCATAAAGGGAGCAAGAGGCCTCCTTCCAGACACACAACTGCTGCTTTCCTAACTGTCCTTTGTCTTGACATCGAGACACACTCCTCCTTCCCATGTATGCACATCCAGGTATTCCACATAAGACTTTAAGGCTGTTTTATATCAGTTTATCAGCTTAATGGTTCAAATCCAGATAGAAAGACTGTCCCAATCCCAGCACTGCAAACAGGTTCCATGTTACATCCTGTGCGTACTATTAAGTACAGCAATGCAATCAACTGCAGAGATAGATAACATATTTCAAACACTGGACTCCACAAATACAACATTCTGGTCCACACAGAGCATTCAGACTCATGTCATCTGTCACAGCAGCAGCCCTGGCATCCTGCTCTCCTGTTCACCTGAACCCTTCAGTGTCAGTGCCTGCATTACTACCCAAGGCAGAATTATTCTGCCAATTCGTTTTCTAACACAGCAGCAAAAGCACACACCTGATGACTTCATTCACTTCCTCTTAATTGTGCCTACTTCACCTTTTGCCCAATAACAGGCTGATGTGGGTTATTTCAAGCCCTGTATTTAATTAACATGGTCATTTTGGACTCGCCTTCCCACAGTAGTGAAAAGTAACCGCTGAGAAGCATGAAGACACTTTGGTACTACCTTCACTCTTGAGGTGGTGTTTCTGTCCCTCATCCAAGACCCTGGAATTCTGTCCTTATCCCCTCTGAATATGCTCTGATAAACTTGATCATCACAAAAAGCCACTGTGACAGGAATTATTAGAAACACAGCTCCCTCCATGTCTTGTCAGTTCAGAGCGCTGATTCCGTATTTGTTGTTTCAGCAGAAGGGGGTCCCGTTCCCAGCCAGAGGAGGCTGAAGCACTCACCGGTCTGTCTGGAGAACGTGGATGAGGTGTTCCATGGCCTGTATGCCGACCTCCAACCGGTATTTCTGTTCGGAGAAAACCACATTTGTCAGCGGTCGAAGCCCGAACACCAAACAAAGCTTCTTTAGTAGTACATGGCAAAGGTACTTCAAATCCATGCGGCTCCTCGGAAGTTGGCACTTACCTTGGATAACGACTTGAGAGCGCGAACAGCGTCCCTCCGGTCATCCAGCAACGTGGACGAAGCCACCCGGTCACAGAGCTTCTGGATCTGGAAAGGTACGTAACACCCGGGCTAAGGCGGCAGGGCAGGACCGCGGGACAGGCTCCCGACACCCGCTCTGGGCTCCGGCACCGCACGGGAGAGGAGGTGCCCCCTTCCCACCCCGCGGCCCCGGGCACACCCCGGGCCTGTCAGCGGGGCCAGCACCGGCACTGCCGGCGCGACCCCGCGGGGCTGCCCGGCCCCCCCGGCGAGCCCGCTCACCGTGTCGGCGCCCGAGGGCTGCGGGCCGGCGCTGGGGCCGCCCATGACGCCCCGCAAGAAGTTCATGGCGGCTCGGCCCGGCCCGGCCCCGCCGCTCCCGCTCCGCCGCCAACCCCCGCGGAAGCGCCGCCGCGCCTGCGCTGCCACGTGGCGCCGACGCGGCAAGGGCGGGACGGGGCGGGACAGCGGGAACACCGCGGGACAGCCGCGCTCCTCACGCACCGGAATATCGGGAAAACCGGCCATACCGGCACCTCCGGCCCCAGCCAGCGGCAGCTGCGCTCCAGGAGAGATGCCAGCTCTCAGCGCACTTCCCAGCCTTGGTCGGGATCCACGCTTGGGCTGCGTTTCTTGTTAAGGAAAAAAAACATCCCAAACGGGTGTGAAGAGCAGGGGCAGCTCGCAGAACGTTTTGTTGTGCCCAGTGACAAACAGATGGGCAGATGCTGGGGGCATTAACCTGTCTGAAAAACAAACCCAGCACACCCCTGTAACCCAGTTCCCTGAGACTTCTCAGGGGTCTGTGCATCCACAACAACCCCAAGACTTGGAATTCAGAAATTGGTATGACTTAAGAGTAGCAATCACTTTTCTATTTTAACTACAAGTAGAAAAACACTACTAGGTTTAACCCTAACTCACCTTAGAGAGAAACAGAAGCTTACCCAGATAACACTGATAGCTCAGTCCAAGGGAAGAGCACCAAGTAGTTGATTTTCTTTCAGATGCTGACTTTCCCCACAGCACTTCCTGGATTCCTGCTGAAGAGCAGCAGCCAAGAACCATCACTGGAAACGCTTCAGGCACTGCATCCACAGACCAGATCCCAGTCTGATGCTGCTCTCCTGATGGTTACTGGTAGGGTTTTACAGTGTTTGGTTTATTCTACATATCTAATTAAAGCAATCTTAATTCCAAATACAGTAAATGAGCACAGAAAGCTCCAATTAGGATGGTCAGTTCCTAACATTGGTTCATTTCATTCCAGGGAAAAGACCCTTCTTACATCACAATTTAAATCAGGAGCTTCAGGGATTTGGTTTTCCCCAACTAAAGAACAAAACCAATACTTTAATCTGAAATATGCAACTGAAAGCATACATTTACTCTTTCTATATTCTAAAATTAATAGCTTCCTCCTCCATCTGGAGACAAGCACCAAAAATCAAGGTATGAGGTTTAAAAAGATGAAATACCACAGCAGTCATTACAAAATTTGTCAAGCACTTACCTTAATTTCTAACTGCACTTCTTGTAGCATCAGGAGATGAAGCTCTGAGCACCTTCAGCCCTTCAGGACCCACCCAAATGTCACAGCTGGCCAGTTTTGCTTTTCCATTGCCTCTGTTTTTTCCCCCTATACAGACACCATCCAGCACATGGCCCCAGAGGGTTTCTATCTTGCTGGGCAACAAAGAAACCTTCAGCCAGGTCTGGTCACCAAGTAACCAGGTGCTTTACAGCAATCACAGCTAGTCAGCAGTTGTGTAAGCCACAGCAGGGCAACTCCAGCCTGCAGTCACCTCACACCAAACCTAGGCTGGGCATCCCTGGCTCTGCTTCTCCACTTCCCTTCCCAGCAGGGCACCTGGAGCCAGGTCACTCACAACTGCCCCAGTCTGGAAATTCCCAAGATGCTCTTACACTTCACTGTCCAGTAGCAGCAAAATATGTGGGTTTCTTCCTCAAAGAAAACTTAAGCTCCTCTCCTAAATCAAAGGGCTTCAGACACCACAGAATTAAAAAAGGATCCCCCCCCACCTTCCCAACAGGGATGGTTGATGGTACTCACCTTCCTGGGCCAGTGCACACATCAGCACTCACCTGACACACTCAAGTCAGGCATAAGGAGACTCTGCTCCTTATCAAGAAACAAAGAAACAACCAAAGCAAGATTTTTCCACCAAAGAAAATTTATTTGTTTCTAAGTATTTCCATCCTTACACGTAGAGCCCATAGGAAAGTGAGTTATTCGCAAAAGAGATGTTTGACACACTCCAGCTGCCCTCTTGGAGATAACACACTACAAGGGGCAGCTTTTGCCACGTCGGGAAAGAATTATTTAGTATTTCACCCGCAACCTTGGATTATTTAATACCTCAGCATAACTGAAGAAAATTCCTGTTTCAGCGAGAAGCCCTGAACTTCAGACTGAGCTACGGACAGCGGTACAGCTCTGCACGGACCCGCATGGTATCCCAACACTGACCGCACCCCTCGCTCTGCAGGCGGCTAGAAACCTCCGTCCAAGCGGAACGCAGCTCCGGTCCGGCAGCACCGAGCCGAGGAGGTGTCAGGAGCCAAATTCCGCAGGTAACGCACTCCCGGCCAACTCATGCCGCGCTCCACGGCGGACAGCGGTGCCTTGACCCCCTAGGAGGACTCGGACCCTCAGGCGTACCTAGAGCAGAAGAAGATCAGTTAAAGCAGGAGCAAAGAGCAGAACTCCGGTTACCCCCTCGCCGCTGTTCTCGCCGCTGTTCCCGCCGCTCCTGGGCCGCCATCGCCTCCAGCCGCCGAGAAATACACGCGCACGGCAGACGTCACCGCGCGGAGCCGGCGCGGATTGGCGGAAAGCAGGGGTTGCTCCGCCCCCTCCCGTCCGCTCGCGGCCCCGCCCACGCGCTTGCCCCGCGCAGGCGCGCGCGCTCACGCACGCACGGGACCGCGGCCGCGCGCCCTCCCCCGCCCGGCTGTGACATCGCCGCCG